TAAAAACAACTCATTGGAACATGTATACTAGTATCAGAAAAATACGGAACTCTTTGTAAATTCAAAATGGAGAAGTCTACATAAAATTTGACAAAAACGCCAGCAAAAAATCCGAGTAACGCTAAAAAGTCCTGTGAAGAAAGCACAAAAACAAATAAAAGGAAAATTGAGAATTAATAAAAAGTTCACAACTTCAGGACCTATTATCTATCGCTCGGGACCATCTTGTATTATTTGTGAAGTATACATCAAGCTGATACAATAAAGATATATAGTACCAAGAAAAATCACCGACCTTTAACGTTTTATACAGATCAGACAGGAATCCGACTAAAAAAACATTTAGGTCAATATATGGTCTTCAACAAGATAAACACTACACAAGTGTTAAAACAATATGTCATATTGTTAAACTTGTACAAAACGAGGCTTGATATCTTTTAAGGTTATAATCTCTTCTGTTATTTCATTGAAACATACACTCATTTCAACAAAAATTTAAAATAACTTATAGAAGATACCAGACTTTTAGTTTGTCTTTCTACAAATGACAGTGACGCCCGAATCAAAACAAGTTAAAAGGCCAAATACAGTTCGAAGAGGTGGAGCATTGAGAAAAAAAACATACCGAAAGGTTTTGCAAATACAGCTAATGTAGTATATTTCTGGTGTCGAAAATCCTAAGAATTTCGAACAATTCTAAGTTTTGTATACAGTTGATTTACTAATATTACCATATCAATGATAATTCGTGTCAACACAGAAATACTGACTACGTACAACGCAGTGTTCAATTCAGTTCGACAATACTAATTGCAATATTTTAACATTGTATAATCCTTTTTTTTTATTTGAATGTCTGTTCTATAAGCGTAAGTCATAACTATGCCATGCATCACTGTTCCAATGTAAAATTAAATTTCCTTCTTAATTGAAGTTTTGATTGATCATACTAGTTAAAAGCTTAAAATATTGCACATCAAAAGTACTTATGAAATATTTACCGTGTTTACTGAATTGTTACGTAATAAGTGTTATTGTGCCGATTTAAAGATAACCAGATATTTTGATTGTCAATAAAGCCAATTTAGAAATCATTAATATTTTAGTATACATTACACATGTTACACAGATGTCAATTCACTGCAGATAATGTTCCAGGGATTAGTACAAGTGTACTGGTACACTAATTATAGCATGCCTTTTACGACTTTATTCAAAACGATCCATAACGAGTCCCGAATTATTAGTAGCGGCTTCATACGCTTTCTAACAAATGAAATGTTTTGTTGGAGTCAAACAACATAATACCTTCATACAAGATATAGTACATAATGTTGACAATGAATTAGAATCTCGTTACGTTGTAACATGTCATATCAGTTCGAGTGTGTATAATCCAGGGTGTTTGCACAACAGATTATCTGCAGATGAAGGCAACTAGTAGTCGTCAATGAGTAAATACCATACCGTATATTAATCAATAAAATGTCCCGACATGTCAAATATAGAATAATTCAAATGAAAAAACTCTTTGGCCTATAGTCCGGTCTAAAGGGGTCCTGTCCGCCTAAAAAACAATACAACTTTTTTATTGCTATCATTTAACGTATTTGACTAAGAAATTACATTTGATAACTGTCCACCCATTCATTTTAACCTTATTTATTTACTAATTGCTCCATTGATCATCATGTACCGCCCATTTTCCGATCCTTACGGAGGTTTAACATTGTCATGTCGGCCATTTTCCGTCTCCTGTTAACAACAGGGAGTCGTAGTTGTTTTTTTTTTTTTTCACGTGCACAGTTTCTGCTTTTTCCGTGTCATTCCGTCAACCAATCAGATATCCGTTGCCTTCCAAGTACTTCGCGCGGTTTCTGTAGCAGACACGCCTATCACAATATCGGAACAGAAGACATGTTCACAAAACGAGCATTTGGAAGAATTATTGTGATATAGTGTATTCTCTCTGGTCAATTATAAGCATATAAGTTATTCTTAACTGATGTTTGCAAATATAATTTATAATGAGAACATAGTGTTCTATATCCATATTTCATGGAACCACGTGCTCTGTCCATGAAAAAAATCTTGACCACGAGTCTAAGTCTGCACGAATATTATTTTTAGTATAAAAATTTAATTATACACAAAATATTGTATCCGAAGAATCAACATTGTCCTTGCGAGTTAGGTATCGATCTGCTTTTGTTTTGCTAATATTATTTTCGGAAAAAGTAGAAGGGGGAGAGGCAAACAAGAGCTTCACACGAGGTTCTTTCGTTACAGAAAACCATCAACGTACTGAAGTATACATCAAGCTGATAAAATAAAGATATATAGTACCAATAAAAATCACCGACCTTTAACGTTTTATACAGATCAGACAGGAATCCGACTACAAAAAATATTTACATCAATATATTGTCTTTAACGACATAAACACCATACAAGTGTTAAAACAATATGTCATATTGTTAAGTTTGTACAAAACGAGATTTGATATCTTTTAACGTTATAATCTCTTCTGTTATTCCATTGAAACATACACTCATTCCAAGTACAAAATTTAAAAAAACTTATAGAAGATACCAGACTTATAGTTCGTCTTTCTACAAAAGACAGTGACGCCCGAATCAAAAAAAAGTTAAAAGGCCGAATACAGTTCGAAGAGATGGGGCATTGAGAACAAAACATACCGAAAGGTTTTTGCAAATACAGCTAATATAGTCTTTTTCTGGTGTCGAAAATCCTAAGTATTTCGAACAATTCTAAGTTTTGTAAAGAGTTGATTTACTAGTATTACCGTTTCAATGATATATCGTGTCAACACGAAAATGCTGACTTCTTACAACGCAGTGTTCAATTCAGTTTGACAATACTAATTGCAATATTTTGACATTGTATAATTTTTTTTCTATTTGAATGTCTGTTTCATAAGTGAAAGTTATAACTATGCCATGCATCACTGTTCCAATATAAAATTAGATTTCTTTCTGAATTGAGGTTTTGATGAATCAGTCAATAGGTACATACAATGATGAATACTAGTAAATAGGTACATATAATGCAAATCAAAAGTTCCTTTAAAATATTTACCGTGTTTACTGAATTGATACGTAATAAGTGTTATAGTGCCGATTTAAATATAACCAGAAATTTGGTTGTCTTTAAAACCAATCTAGAAACCATTAATATTTTACCATACGTTACAAGCATGTCAATGTTGACAATGAATTAGAATTTCGTTACGTTGTAACATGTCATATCAGTTCGAGTGTATATAATCCAGGGTGTACTCTGTAGATGTAGTCAACTAGTAGTCGTCAATGAGCAAAAATGAACACGTATATTAATCTATAAACTGTCCCGACATGTGAAATATAGAATAATTTAAATGAAAAAAACTCTGTGGCCCAATTGATGTACCAAGCAATAACCACAAAACACATATGATAAACAACGACCAATAACAACCACCGAATAACAGGTTCCTGACCTAGGATAGCATAGCATGTGGCGGGTTTTCAACATGTTTACGAGCGATCATCCTTCCCTGTAAATGGAAAGTGATTTAACAACACAACATAAACACAAATGGTAAAATTAGTTAAAAAAATGACTCATTAGATCGATATAAAGGACAAAGTGAATATATCTACAAAGTTCCAATCTAGGAGTACTCTCTATAAAAATGTCATAAACATTAGTTTCTTTCTTTTTCAACGATGAAGATTAGAAATATTTCTAACAAGTTATTTAAGTGCGTACGCAATTACTATTGATTTAATGGATAACAGTCCAAATACAGCAAAGAAATCGACTAAGAGCAAGTAAAAAGTATCATATAAAAAATAACGAACTGCAAGGAAAATTCAAAACAGAAAGTGGCAAAATCGATGGCTTAAACAAAATAAACGAATGGAAAACAACTGCCATATTCCCGACTTGGTACTGGCATTTCCTCATGTAGAAAAAAGGTGGATTAAACCTTATTTTATAGCTAAACCTCTCACTTAAATGAAAATAACACTGATTCAAGTTTATGCGTCCTGAACAACTTTCTGAATTTACTTTCCTCTGTACACTAAAACACGCTTTTGAGTCTGAGGCGATTTTCCCTATCAATCTTCATCAGAAACACTCAAAGCCAAGGGTATATAAGTAACAAAATAGTTGAAGTGCTATGTGTTTAAAAGGCACCTAAATATAATAGCCAAATTGATCTAAGGTTAATTCATTTGAGGGCGTTGAAACCTTAGTTTCTTGATAGTTTAAGGAATGTTTTGTCATAAATCCTGTCAGTACCGAAGCACTGACTAGCTACGTAGCTGATGATACCCTCGGGAAGTCATAGTCAAGCAGCTGTTGTATTTAACCAGTGTTTTGCAAAATGCAAAAAAAAGGAACAACGACTGAAATCATCACTACAAAATTTGATAGAGATTAGGAAAATCTGGCTGTTGTATTCAACCAGTGTTTTGCAAAATGCAAAAATAAGGAACAACGACTGAAATCATCACTACCAAATTTGACAAGGATCCTTCTTCTTGATTTTCGTAGATTTATGATACCAAATTGCGTATTTACGGTATACGCAAAAGGTGTCTACATTTAATAAAAGTTTTTCGTTGGTAACCGTATATTATTCAATTTCATAGGACTGCGAAATAAAATAGTTTAAGTATTCTCTTAAGGCATTAATGAGCTGTCATGCGTTTGTTTTATGAAATGAAATGAGAGTTTAAAGCTCAACCAATTGAAATCATACGACTTTCTAATATGAAGTTTCAAGCTCCACTGAAAATTAATAAATTTCCAAAATATTTATTGTGATGTTATTGAAATTTCAATTTCGATTAGTTTCTTCTTTCTTTTATCAACGTATAAACTATATAAAATTAAAATAACTTATTCATGACAGGTATCAAAAGACCAATCTATCATACAATGAATCGATCACTTTGTTACATCGTCAAAGAGTCACCACATTTCTTTGGTTAAAAGTGCTTGTGCAAAGGCGCTTTAACGTCAAACTAAAACAACACATTCTCAAATGGTATCGGAATATCAATGAATACTATGTTTTATATAAGGACAGCAGTTGTGTTTGCACTTTTTGCACAATATGTTGAAAGTTTTGATATTAAAACACAGAAGTTCAACACCAACACGAACAGAAGAATAGTTCAAAATGGAGCACAAGTTCATACAGGGAAAGCCAAATCCCGAATCCAGTGTGCCATAATGTGCACAAGTGATAGTACTTGCTGCTCGAGTACCTATGACCAAATCTTAGAACACTGTTCATTATTTTTGGCTTGCTGTCCTACAAAGGAACCCTCTACAGGATCATATACAAGTATAAAGACTCCTAATTTAGGTAAGATTATTACACAATAATTGTAATCTATTATTATAAGACTATTTTAATATATTTCTTCTATTTTTATACCTTCGCACATAAAGGGATTATATAGTGATGCAAATGTCCGACCGTTCGTCTCTTCGTTAGTCAAAAGTGTGATGTCAAGAATAAACTCACCATAGATACCAGGATAATAATTAGATTTTGAAGTAAACCAGGAACAAACCTTTTTTTTTAATCTTAAAATCACATGTACCAAAATATCAAGTCAAGTAATATATTGAATGAGTTAAAAGGAAGAACGACAGAAATCGACACAACATAAGTTCGACCGTCAACCTTACAAATTGGTTGACGATACGATGTGTCAGTGTCTTAACACACTAGCGACATTTTTTTGCGGTCTTTAGATTCTATTACAGTCGTCTGATCTGTACATTTAACGATTATGACATTTAGACTGAGTGTGAAATTGCATGCATTGGAGAAGACACTTGTCCTGTCACACATCCAGTCTCCTTCTTTCGGAGTTCTAATTGTTCTTAATCAATTAACAGGATTTTAACACCGGTTTTCTACTGTCGCATTAATCTAGTTGAATCTATTTTGCCCCACACTTAGTGTTAATTGACAATTTCCTGTCATATATGTCAATTAGGACAGGTTGACGATATCACAAATCACATTTATGTTATATAGTGCACAAGGTATAATAATGTAGATAAACAATTAAATAAATGTTATCTTATAAATATACAATATTTGTTTAATTTTTGGGCCATCCATAAAAGTATGCATTCCTTTTCGTGTTTTTTTTTATTTATTTTATTTTGTCCTTTGTTATGTGATTTTAATAACGAATCTGATGGTCATACTGAATTCAGTGTGGGCTAATTTTGTTGTTTTACTTAAATGATAATCGTCTAAAAGTAAATGTCTTTGTTTTTCATGTTTTTGTGGGTACAATGTAGGTGTGTTTACGTGTTTGATTTAAACCTGTTATGTTATTGTTCCTATCCAAGTTCGAATGATTCAATACTATGTATTAGGGTCATGATAAGAAGGTTTTCATTTTTGTAGTCTTAGACCTTTTTTCTCAATCTATTATTTTTAATTTAGCACACACTTATTCTCTATTCTATAGACCCCATTTATACTATCATGTGTATAATTTACCAGTTGTCTCATAACCTTGATCAATTGTCAAATTTGTTTAAATCCATCACTACATAAAACTGCTCTCTGACTTGAATATAATACAACCATATTAGTAAAATTCAAACACAAAGCTATCATTTTTTCTTTTAAACTCTATAGCCAGAATGAATCGGGACTTATATATTTTATATTTACAAATTTTAGTTACTTAATATAAGCGACAGTTTATAAAACAAAATGTAAAATAACAAAAATATAGAACGCCAAGAGAAATTCAAAACGGAATGTCCTTTATAAAATGGCAAAACCGAAATCTCAAACACATCTTACGAATTGAAAACAACTGTCATATTCATGACTTGGTACATGCCAGCTTGATATTTTATTATTTTCCTCGATACTGACACCGATGAACGACTAGAATATGACAAATGTAAGGATTTCAATTTTCCAATTATCAATTTCCAGATTATCAGCATTAACATAGCATCTTCTAACATCAACAAGAATTTTTATATCTCAGTTAATACGTTGCACTCGTGTGTATGTTCAATCCAAACGGACTTCCTGGGCAGGGTGTGTTCTTTACATAAACCTTCTCCGACATGTTATAAGGAGAAACGCATGATTTTGACGCTACAATGGTTTGATGTCAACATAATAAATATGTTGACCGATAAAATAGGTCTATGTCTCAAGCCACTAGCAACATGTGTTCGCAGTTTTAGAACATATATACCAGAATAGTTTTTAATTTACATTTTTAGAGGATTCCTATAGAGAATGGTGTATTTTTAGCATGTGAATTATGAGATTTGAACATCTGTAAACTACTGATGCCTTAATTTATGAAAATAAAATACAAATATAATATTGTTGGGTTCTTTGTAATATTAAGGTTAACGTTTTGCCAATTTTTTATGGTGACATTTTGTGCACTTTATCTAATATTGTGAAATTTAATTGATGTACCAAGTAAACGGCAAAAAATGCAGTTTTTGACATAACATGTCTTCCCTCATGCTAAAAATCAAGATATTAGGACAATAAGACACATGTTACCAAACGTAAACAAAATCGTTCTATTAAGACGAAATTGATGTTAACAAGTCCATTAAATGTTGTCTACATTATGAGCACTAATACGTATATATTTGATGTGTATTATCATATTAATTTGTTTTCAACTATTGCATCATAATACTACAAGTATATAGTAATTTCCTTTTCACCAGCTAAGGTCTTTTCTCCTACACCAACCGACTGCAGCGAATTTCCTCTTGGAACATGTACTGGGGTACATACTATCCAGCCAGAAAACGGTCCAACCATAACTGTGTTCTGTGACATGGACACTGATGGTGGAGGGTGGACGGTAAGTTAAATTTTTCTGTCAATAAAAAAAGAAATATTAAAAATTAAGGCACCAGTAGTATACCGCTGTTCAGTAGTCATAAATCGATTTAACTGAAACAAATTCGGGTCACAAACTAAAACCGAGGGAAACACATCAACTATAAGAGATAAACAACGGAACAACATAAATACTGAACTGCTACAACAACAAACTCCAACATACATAGAACCGCACTATTTGATAACAACTGCCATATTCCTGACTTGGTACAGGACATTTTAAGAAAAAAAGGTGCGTTGAACCAGGTTGTATGGCTAGCCAAACCTCCCGCTTATATGGCAATAAAACTGTTTTAATTTTTTTCATTGAAGCGTAGTTATAGAAAAAAAATGCATTTACTCTATATCTAATAATAAGACATTGTTTATTCAATTAATTTCATTTTTTTAGAAAATGTCATTCTTAAAGATATCGTTAAAAAAGGTGAATCAAAAATATTAACAGAAGTGTTTTAACAGTACGTACGATCACTTTGAGTGTATGACAAACTGAAAACTTGCAACTTGTCACCGATGGTAGCTAGAGTATATCTATCTCGTCACGATACTTTAAAGGTAGTTTTAAACAAACTTAGAATATTGAAGACGTGAAAATTTCCTTATTATTGAAGGCCGTATGGTGACCTAAAATGACTGAAAACCACTCAATGTTGACTGTGTTGGATAATGGTTGCATTGAAATCATACCAAATCTCCTTATTTTATACTTATCAAACATTTTTACTTTTTTATTTTTTTATTTTATATGTATCTATATGTTTGCCTTGCATTCGATAACCCTTTCATAAGTTTGTAACCTGTGAACTTAAAGGATGATAACACAGAGACCTGAATACTAGCGTCATTTGAGGCTTTTTGTCTTGAATTTATGAACAAATGCTTAAAAAAACATTAACAAACGCGATGAGATTTGCCATTAACTTTAAAACTTAGTTAGTTGCCATCTGATTAAAATACAGATTTGCTGGCCCTCATTCAATTTCAACCAACTAACACATTTCTGTTCTCCCTTCTGTTCTGATAATATTACGTTAACAGAGAACAGTCTGCCTCTAAATTTTATCAATTTAAACATTAAATGTGAATAATAACCTAAACACCCGGGGATTCCGAAAAGGTCTTAGAAAAAGTAATCACAACGGAGAAGTGCCAGATCCTCAAATCAAAGGATGGACATAAGTTCTGTATTGTATATGTCTTGGTTTCAACAATTACGTTGTACCACAGTTATAACTTTGCAATCGAGTTACATGCAATGCATGTATACACGACCATTCCTAACATGTCAATGCATCTTGTCTAACTGTATCTGGATTTGTTGCGATGCCAATTCCAAAGTTTATTATACCCAGGTAGTGATTGCTTTATACGTATGTGGCGAAAGTAGTTTCGTCTTTACGGTTTTTAATGATCTTCAACTTCGTATTTGATTTTGGAATTCCATCTTTTGTATATGAGCGCCACTGATGAGTCTCATGTAAAGGAAACGCTCGTCTGGTGTACTAAATTAGAGCCGGTATATTTTATGAGTCTTTACAATCCTACCGTTGGTTTTTTATGTTTCTCTTCTGGTTGTGTAGCAGATGTTGCAACTAAACTGTGTGTCCTTTATGCATAGAAATTCGGGAATAGAAAACACGAAAAAGCTGCTTTCATCAATGACCGTCTAGAAACAAATTGTTCTACACGTTGTCTTTATTTGAAGACCAATACCGAGAGAAGGTTTTTTCAGTTCTGCCTGCTTTTGTTTTTTTCAGAATATGACTGTACCAAGTCAGAGTATGTATGACATTTGTTTTTCCAGGTGTCCGTTGTTTAATATAGTTGAGCGATTGATTTTATCAAGTTTTATTGTCTTTCCCTTTTTTTAAATTTTGGATTTATTTTTTTTGGGGAGTTGATAATTTTCTTTCGAACATATGATGTGAAAATTAGAAATTGAAAATTGAATTTTGTCATAATAGTAGCACAAACTGTTAAAAAAATTTTTAAAAAAGATTGTTTGCAAATATAATAATTATTTATTTAAACTTTTCTTATAAGTATACTATTATTTTCATGACGTTGGGTCTTAAAATCTTCGTTTATATTCAAAATACTTTGTATCTATAGACAATTCAAAGACGATTTGATGGAAGTATTGATTTCTATAGAGATTGGGAGGATTACAAACTTGGATTTGGGGATATAGCGGGAGAACATTGGCTAGGTAAGATATTTCAATTAGCATTTAGTTTTTATTACCGGGTTTGTACTAACATGAGCAACACGACGGGTGCCACATGTGAAGTAGGATCTGTTTATCCTTCCGGAGCACCTGAGATCACATCCAGTTTTTTATTAAGTTCGTTTTGCTCAGTTTTCAGTTTTCTATAAACACAGAGAACGGTGTTGCCCACAACAATCACGGTATTAATAGTTAAGGTGTTGGTAAGTGGTTCTCCTCATTATAAACGTTGGTTTTATCCTTTTTGTATTGATTGCAGGTGCTTGATACCTTATTTAGTATTGTTTTAGTACTGAATCTTGGTAAATCTCGGTAGAAAAAAAGCTTCACACATTACATTGTGTTTTATACATTGTTGGAGACATTTCTTTAAGTTTTAATGTCTTTTTTGTTTCAGAGGGAACGAAAGGTTCCTCGCCGATTTCTTTTTATTAAAACAATCTATTTCATTGAACACAAATATCTATGAATTTTCAAGGTTTAAAGCAGTATATCGACAGAATATGTACCGCTAATTATCTATAAATTATTATCTATTTCAAAAGGAAATGACAATCTCCATTGCATTCTTCGACAACAAAAACATTACCAAGTCCGATTTGATCTTGAAGATGTCAATAATACTACAGCGTATGCTGTGTACGATACCATATTTGTGGGGAGTGCGTTCACTGACTACCAACTCACAATGACAGGTTACAGTGGAACAGCAGGTAATCATAATGATGTTCTTTCCATTAGCAATCGAAACATTTCTGGATTCCATTAATATGTCCCCCAGAACTAGAAATTAAAGAAACAACAGTCTCATCGTCCTCTGCCTAATTTTTAGACTAGTACATCGAGTTTGACATATGCGGTCATCTCAGTACCAGAATCTTCGACAAACGAGACGATTTTGGTTATAAATTATCAATTTCCCACACCTTAGTAGCAATATACTAACTTCACCTGTAAAAGGGATATATATTTCCCAACTTATTCGGTATTCAAGAAATTCCAGCTGCTACTCAGACTTTGTAAAACGTCACAAGTGTTCGAGTTGAAAGTTGATGAACCAGGGGTATGTCAAAGAATGTCTCGTCCTTTTTCTAAAAACCGTTCATCAGAAGGTACCAAGACCTGTTGATAAATATTCAGTATCAACTTCACAAATAATACACGTTGGTTTTGAAGTATAGATTCTGGGTAATGACGTTGTTCATCATCTTAATAACTTGTTATAGTGTTCTTTTTTTTTTTGCTTAATGAATATTACTTTTGCTGTTTGGTCTGTTTTTGGTCATTTCCATTTGACGTGGCTCTGTTCTTATGCATCCCGTCATTATGATGTTGTATTATGGTAAATTTTTGTATTCTTGTGTTTCATTTTTGCTAATGTACTTTATTACATATAACGTGGCTCTGTACTTATACATCCGGTCATTGATAAGGGACTTTCCTTTTTGAATTTTCCTCGGAGTTCAGTATTTTTGTGATTTTTCTTTTTTCTGTACTTATACATCCCGTCATTTTGTTATTGTGCTATGGTAAATTTTTGTATTCCTGTCTTTCATTTTTGCTAATGTGCTTTGTCTCTATGCCTTTTTGTGTTTCTTTGTTACATATTTGCTTGTTTTTAAAGTGATTTAGATTATAACACAATGTTGACTGTTGTACCCTTATTTTTGACATTTTACCCATTATCATGCTTATGACTGTTTGTTTTGTTTACACATCGCTGTTAATATAATGGAATTGTATGCGACTGTTGCTATAAAACCAGGTTTAGTCCACCATTTTCTACATAAGAAAATGCCTGTACCAAGTCAGGAATATGACAGTGGTTATCCATTCGTTTGATGTGTTTGATCTTTTGATTTTTCCATTTGATTACGGACTTTTCGTTTAGAATTTTCACCGTTGTTCTGTATTTTTGTTATTTTACTTTTTAAACTTATAATTGCACAGGATTAAGTCCCATTGTAAAGTTGTTATTTAAACGTAGCCTAAAAATTGATATTGAAAACTGTTATGGTAAACCTAGGACGTTATTTGTAAGTTTACCTTTTATTGCCTGTAAAATGAATCACATAAATTTAATAAAAGGGGTTAATGATTTTTTATGCGGAAATGTAAAGGCAATGCGTGCAAACGTAATGTACCTATCGTTGATAATTAATTAGGGACCTATTATGTGGAGGTGTGAAAATGAAGGGTTAATTCTCAATAGTATGCTGAATTTTCCCGAAAATTATAAAGTATTGCTACCCTGTTGCCAAATTCCAAATGATTTGTCATCCATTTTGATTATTATTAACATATTAAAACCTATAGCCACCTTATGTAAATTCAAATTATACCTTCGTACATGTTTTACTCCCTTCTCTGCATGAAAAACCACTTAAAAGGATCAACATGAAGAACCAACTACTGTGATTGTACTTATAAAAAAGAAGATGTGGTATGATTGCCAATTATCAAACGACATACAATTTAACAGTTATAGGTCATCGTACGGCCTTCAACAATGAGCAAATCCCATACAGCATAGTCAGCTATAAACGGTCCCGAAATGACAAATGTAAAGCAATTCAAACGAGAAAACTAACAGCCTAGTTAATATACAAAACAACGAACGAAAAACAAATATGTAACACAGCAACAAACGACAACCATTGAATTACAGGCTCCTGACTTGGGACAGACACATACATACAGAATGTGGCTGGGTTAAACATGTTAGCGCGATCCCAACCCTCCCCATTACCTGGGACAGTGGTGTGACAGTACAACATAAGAACGAACTATAAAATCAGTTGAAAAAGGATTAACTCATCAGATGGATACAAATTGAAATACATAACACAGAGTGGACGTGACTGGGTACTTGTACATCCCAACAACAAACAGACAGTAAGTACAGATCTGAGAGTACTCGCAGTTACTGACAGCTAGTTAAAAGCCAATAACAACTAATAAAAGAAATAATGCATCTAAGACTATACAGCATTGATATGGTCCTTGTTTTCTTGATTGAATATCACGAATATCACGAACCTAAATGCATGCGTTATAATCAAAAATCTCAACTGTTTCTTGTTTTTTATTAGTCGGTTCTTTTTAAGACTGAGTAAACAATCAATTGAAGTAAAACTATATTTGTATGTCTAGGCAAATATTACATTAGCACTACCAATTCAGCAATTGTTATTTTGGAAAACGAAATTTAGCCCTATCAAAATTGATCTCTCAAAGAATTCTGTTTCTTAACGTGTTGTGGGTGTGGCAGTATCTACACGAGACATTGGATTTCACGTCATAATTTTGACCGCACGTGGCTGGAATTTATATCCCACATAGCCAAACGGACGCCTCTCGATGATAAGCGTTTTACTGCTGTTCGGACAAGACCAAGGAATGACCATTTTTCTATAACCTAGTCAACCGTTTGGATTTGCAAGTGCAATATATGTACACTAAAAATTTCATGAGCTCGTTTGAATTTTTGCCTTCAGACTTCAAAGACAAATGCAATTCAAAAATTTGTTAGCCATATGTCATCCTTTGCTCTGTTCATACCTGTTGACCGTGTAATTATTTATAAAAGATGAAATATTTTGAAAGTAAATGTTGATGACACTCCCCTGTAAATGAATGGGTCCGGCCTTGTCAATGAAACCTGTACGTAATGCGACGGGAATACACTTGCTTGCAAGTCAATCATATACCTCCAATTTTCTATTAAAAAAAATGCTGTCAGATGTGCTTTGAATAAAACATTTTAATTATGGTTGTGGATGACTGATAATTTCGTGGTTTACCTTTCGTTAAAGTTTACAGATAAAGAGTTACAATATTACATTTGTGACGTCAACAAACTATACAGCGATTATTTGTCGGAAAGCAACGAATTTGATATATATTTTGTGATACAAACGATAAAGTAAAAATGAAATAATTCAGCATGAACGTGTGATCCACAGATACATATGTGTGTAAATTTTTAGGATATTCACGAAAACTCCACAAAAGAATGACAACCGGAAAGAAGTTTTCCGCAATGTTTTGAAGATTAGCTGAACGAAAGTAGTATTGATTCAAATCGACTCTTCAATCATTATGATATAAACAATTTAAAATGCACTGAACTTTATCGTCAAGCTTCTCCGATAAAACTCATTTCAGATCATGACATAATATTGTAGAATTGACAGCAGCATGACTGTAAATAGCTCTTGCGTAATCAGGCAAAAATTAGGTAATTTAGCAGGCTTTTTAATACAAGTAATATACGAATATTATTCCATATTGATAGAACTTTAGTAGGTTTTTATATGAATTGGATTTTGAATAAATACGCATATTCACCGCGGAAAACATTGCGTGCGTTTACGTGTATTATTATGTTAAAATCGTTTAACGTACTATTGGTTTTGGTAAATAATTATCATTACATACATTTATTTGGTAACCTCTCGGAATATTGAATAAAACAATTACTGTCTTGTGTTTCGGTAAGTACGTGGTTTAATTGACTTTTGAAAACTGACATTACTTTGGCCGCTGGCCTCAGTGAATATCAGTTTTTTTAAAAGTCACCAAAAGACAGTAATTGTATAACATATAACAACACTATCCTTTCTCAGATTTGTACACTCGGATTGGAAGAAGAGAAAAATTGCCTGTTACCATATACTTTTGCACTACTTTGTCAATTGTTTTAGTCAAATGATACGTGTTGTGCTTTGGCAGAAAAAGGACTTTATCTTTTAACAATGTCAATCATAGACTCGTCATTGGACTGTATATTATTGTTTTGTCTTTACTGTCGCTATGCTGACCTATGATTGTATTATATTATCATATAAAACTATTCGTGTATTTACCTGTCCTTTATGTACGACTCGAACATTATCATTGTTCTGGTATATTGATCATCCATTATTTTTATATTTTGACCAGAATCTACTCAAACTACCTTGTCGTTAGAATCTCAGTA